TATTTAATAGATATGTATCAAATATATTCAAGGAGGTTATAGTAAAGATTTGGAAAATGGCAAATAGTTTAATATGAATCAGGATATGTAACAGAGCATGTAAAAGGAATGAAGGTGAATAGGGCAGGCTAGAGCCTCATCTCAGAGCCCTAAAGCCAGGTGAGGGCGTTTACACTTTATTTGGCAGTCACCAAATTATGATTGCAGGTTTTAGAGCAGGGTAATGACATGAGCAGAACGAACTTTTAGGATGATTAAGTTGGGAGAAGAATGTAGGATCAGCACAAAGGGGCAGAATATTATAATTTTCTGTAATATTAGAAAATCATAATACTAACGAAGATGTGAAGCAATGAGAGTCTGAGACTATAAAGGTCACAGTGAAAATGAAAAGAAAAACACTAGCCGAATAGAATACCCAGGTTGTGGTGACTGACTGACTTAAGGTGGATATATTTAAAAAAAAAAAAAAAAGGCAAAGGAATTGGAGATGTCACCGGTTTTTACCCTGGATAGATGTGTGGTGGTAGTAGCAAATAACAGAATAGAAACATCTCCAGGAGAAGCTTATTAAGTAAGAAATGATGATTAGGTGGTGCTTAAACCACCCAAGCTCTGGATGAATGGCTGTTGAAATAAGAAAACAACAGACATTCCAGACCAGACTATAAGGATTGCTTTTAAAAACAAAAAGCAAAATAAAGCAAAAAATTCGTAATATACTTACATATTTTAAAATTCAAGAGTCACAAGTGATCATAAAGTAAAAAGCTTTTTTACTTCTCCCTGTTCTTTAGCCACTTAATACTTCAACTCTAAGACAACCAATTATATCAGTTTATGAAGCTTATTCTAACTTATCTTGCCTAAAGTGAAACAGTTCTGTGTTTGCCTCAAGAGATGTAGATCAACAAGAACGAGGTATTATTGTTTAGTACTCTCAGGGAGACAGAGGATGGACTTGAAGATTTATGGATACATTGAAAAAAAAGACTATAGAGAGAGCATGCTGGGGAAGTCTCAGTGATACTTAATACACTTGTTCTTTCTCCCATTAAGAGTATCAGGCATTCTTCCTTCTACTGTGATCCTACTACGTGTCAGCCACTATTTATGGGCTATCATCTGAAGACCAACCCTCTAAACCTGGTTTTATTATCACCACCTTACAGATGAGGCCACTGAGGCTCAGATACATAATTTTCTAGTAGGTAGAGTTGGAGTCAGATTTGAATCACAATTGTGAGACTCCAACGCCTGTGTTTTCTATTCCAGTGTTTGATCATAGAAAGGAAAGAATCAAGGAAAGTTCCTGAAGCCAGATTTCAGGAAGATTGAGTGAGTGGCAAAACAGAAAAAAAGTCAAAAATAGGTTTTTACTTAAAAAAAAAAAAGTAAAATACAGCTTTTATAGGCACATCACCAATATTACCCAGATCAAAATTTGAATCACAAAACAGGTCATCCACACAGGATGTTTGAACAACCAAACCGACTCATCTACACATGTGGAGTTAGGAGACTATTGGTAAAGGCCCACTCATGGAGCAGAAGTCAGGGTAGGGAGAATGACTCACCAATCATTAAAATGAGAACACAGAACTGCAAATAAACTTTTTTCTTCCAGGTGGTCTCAAAGAACAATGCAAACATTTTCTGCACCAGAGCCCAAGAAGTACATGTATTTATTATTCTCACTTTATAAGTGAGGAAATGGACACCCTGTGAGTCAACTGCATAGCCCAGCCCTATGCTCAGATTATAGAAATACTGCTAATGTTAACTCATAGGCAACAAGTGTGAGAAAGAACGTGATGCAGTAATGCCAGAGGGTTTAACTGGTCCTTGTGGCTTCTTGACAACAGAATTTCCTAGTGAAGAATTTTAGGGTATGAAAATTGTTAAAAAGAATAGAAAAGGAACTCCTTCTTCATTCCTTTGCTCTCAAATAGCACAAAGTAAAATCTTGCGTAAACTAAAATCTTGAGGAGCAGCATCTGAGATGGGAAGATCAATTTACTTTAGAATACCTAAAGGGTTCACCAGGGCTAGATGTCCATACATTTACATAGCTGATTCTAAAATCAATTCACCCTTTCTAACCAACCACTACTCTTCATACTACATACATATACCCACATGTGCCCAGCACTTGCTCCACAGATCGCAAGGCCCGGGTGAACCAGACACCACATCTCATTTATCACTAGACTTGGATTATGATATGCACAAAGCGGGAACAGTCTCAAACCTACCGTGAGATCTGGCCCATCCAAACCTGACAGTAACACAGCAAAGAGAAGCCACAGGCAGATGAAAGTACAGTAACTTCGGCAGGGCTGAAGCTGAGGAATTTATTTCATATTAGATACTAACAGCCTCTCACCAATCAGGCATCTAGTATGATGAATTCTGACATTAGATAAAGGGGAGGAGAGGCGAATGTCGCAATCATGGATGTTAACTCACTGAGGACTGAATGCGGGGCCTAGTTAAATCCCTACTGGAAGGAAAACACTCAAGACCAATCACTAGACCTACTGATCAGTATGTTCGCTCACAGGTCAATGGTATAGGGTTAGAAATGTTTCTTCTGGAAACAGAAACGAATGCTAGCCTTCCTCTGAAACCTAGACAGTGCATGTAAATGGTTCCAGGATGTAAGAGACACTCAAAATTTCTGACCATGTAGTAGTCTTCTGATTCAGTTCATTATTAGCCAAATAATACACATCCCCAGAGGAGAGGCTTCCCTGCCGGAGTGAGAAGAGAAACTAAGCCAAGTGGAGATTGGTATCTAAACTTTCCTGACCACACGTAGTAAACCGCAAACAAAACAAGAACAAGAGCAAACCCACGCCAAACAGACTTCGACTTCGGCGTGTGGAGGGACGAAGGCCAGCAGTAAGAGGGAAGGAGATGGAGGGGCAGTGGAGGGGAGACGTGAGCAGAGGAATGCGACGGCTGCAGCTCCTCCACACAGGCCCGTTCTCCCCACCACGCGGGCCCCAAGCCTCGAGGGACTGGCCAGAGGCGACGATGGGGTGGGGCCGACCCCAAGTGTCACCGCCGTCTGGGCTCCCGAGCCCGCCGGCCGGGAGCCGGGGTTCGGGGCTGCGCGCGGGCGCCCTACCTGTCGAGCAGCGGGGTGTGGATGTGCAGGTGCTTCACGGCCACCCGAACGCGCCAGTCTGCGTGGCGGGCGGACGACACGGTGCCCGACGCGCCGCGGCTCAGGTAGCGCAGGTCGGCGAGCTTGTGGTAGGGAATGGTGGGCAGGGCGCTGCAGATAGGCTCCCGGCTCATGGTCGCGCGCGGCGCGGGCGCTCGGGCCGCGGGCCGGCTCTGGGTGTGCCCGCCGCTTCGGCGGCTTCCGGGGCTCTTCGGCCGCGCTCGGGCGCCGGGACCCGCCCCCCGGTGCCAGAGACTAGGTCACGAGGCAGCGCATTGCCCGCACGACCCACGGCAGCCGCGGCTTCGCTGGAGCGGGAGCGGACTTTCCTGGGGACCGGGGTCAACAGTGCGGCGGCTACGCGTCGAGGAGGAGCTTCCTCGCCCGACCCGGCCCTCCCAGGCGCGCCAGCCACCCGAGCCGGGCGGGCCGAGCTCCTCCCTCCCCGAACTGCTCGGGCGACGTCAGCGGCGGGCACTGAGGCGGGTAGAGGGGCCCCGCCTGGGCCCCGGGATCCCCGCCGCGTTGCGCGGCCCCCACGCTCTGGGCGACACCCGCAGGGGCTCGGGCGCGGGGTTGGGGCGGGCAAGGGCGCCAGGGACGCTGTTTGTCTTCTTTCCCCCGCAACTCCCAGGTTTGGAAAAGTTTTCTCTGAGGGGAAGAAAGCTCCTTTCGGCAGCCTGCTGTCCGATGGGTCAATGGGAGGACTCCCTCAGGGAGGGAGTGCGTCTGAGCCTCGCGTCTTGGGGGAGTCGCCGGACCCCACAGCTGGCGCGTGTGGGTTGGGGACCCGGATTCTGGACTCCGCGCCTGCCCGGGAAGCGCGTTGGGTGGGGAGGGGGCGTGGTGGTGACTTCCTGGCGCCCCGCAGAGAGCCCCGCGAGCCGGGTTGGGTGTAAATGTGTAAAAGCACTTGGCTACCTCCCTCGCTTCCAGGTGTGTGAGGAGGGACACGTTGGTGAGAAAGCTGGTCAGGGTTGAACTTGGCCAACGAGTTCGCGGGTGTAGCTCCCGTTCCCTGCTCCTCTACTAGGGATCTACTTTTCTCCTCTCTTTCGCCGTCCATAACTATATGGAGGGTGAAAAACTTTTAGAATCCCTCTGATTCCAGGTAAGACTGCAAACATTTCCTTCTCACAGATCTGGGAAGAATGCAATTAATGTTTAATGTCAACCAAAAACAAACATCCCTTCCGTTTTTTGCCTTAGAACAAAACACGTTTCTATTGGGATGGCTATCTTGTAGAGTGTTGAGTGCAAATACTGTATACAATACCAAGTCCATACTAGGTATTTTATTTATTTTTATTATTTCTTTATTTTCCTGGAGAGAGAGCAAGTGGGAGAAAGGGGGGAGAGGGGAGAGAGCAAGAATCCTAAGTAGGCTCCTACCTCAGCTCAAAGCCCACTCTGGACTTGATCCATGACCCAGGGATCATGACCTGAGCAGAATCAAAAGTCCCCATGCTGAAGGGACTGAGGCACCCAGGGCCCCCATACTAGGCATTTTAATGAATTCTAAGGCCACAGTAGTAAGGAATGCCTGACTTGAATAGGGGATTTCTGCCTGTAGAGAACCAGTGCTTCCTGTATTTTTGTGTTGCTTGAAATGAGAGTAGCACTGTTATATTCTACAATACTGGGAAGTTGTAATGAGACACTGTGTTTTTGGTGTTTTTTTGTTTTTGATTTTTGAGAGACGGCAGCCTGGAAAGGGGCAGAGGGAGAGAGAGAACATTAAGGAGGCTCCCTGAACCCTGCGTTCTATCTCACCACCTTGGAATCATGACCTGAGCCAAAATCAGAAGTTGGATGTTTAACCGACTGAGGCATGCAGGTGCCCTGAAACACCGTGTTTTAAAATTTTGATTATTTAAATAAAATGCTTAGCTGTAAAGATATGGTTTGATGCTTTGTTGCTTAATAATCTTTTTGCTATAAAAAGTGCTGAGAAAAATTTCCCATTCATTCGTTCATTTTTTCCAGTCAGTTAAGAGTTCCAGATAAAGTGAACAAAAAATAGGAAGGCAGGACATGATCAAAATAATAATTCAAGAAATTTTGGCAGGATCAAAGAAGGACAGGGGTCTCCAAACTGAAATGGCTACCAAGTACCTACAGTGAATGAAAAAAAGTCCTTCATGTAAGCACATCATTAACAAGGTCAAAACCCTTTAGAAGATTCTAAAGGTTTTCAGAAAGAAGAAACAAAAATAAACTGATCAGGATTAGAATGACATTAGATTTTTCAACAGTAACACTTATGCTAAGACACAGGGAAGTAAAATTTCTCCAAACGTCTGAAAGACAGTAACTTCCAACCTATGATTCTATAGTCAGCCAGACTATCAAGTTTAAAGGCAGAATAAAAAATATTTTCACATATACAAGGATACAAATGACCTTTCTTTCTTCTATTTTTCTTTTAATAAAGGAAGCTACTGAAAGATGTGGTCCAACAAAACATGGGACTAAAATCAAAGAGAAAGACATGGGATCCAGAAAACAGGACCAAGAGAATGTGAAGGTAAGCCCCAGGATGTGGCAGAATTAGAGAGCAACCATTTTTCCTTGGAGCAAGGAGATGGCAGACTCCAAGAGAAAGACTAGTTAAAATAATTGAATTTATAGATTATTTAATTTTGAGTTTTTGGGAAATTATATTGATAGATGTTTGATAAATGAAATATGTGATAAAAATGGAAAAAACTTACAAAAATCTAAGTGAAAAAGACAATTATTAGTTTGTTGAAAAATAAATATTATACACAAACAGAAGCATTTCTACAAACTGTTCAGTGATGTTGAAAAAAGGAAGACTTCAGAGCTTTTGCAATACTAGTATATTACAAATGTCCAAGAAGAAGAGAATATTAAGCATAGAACTCTATAAAATTTATATTTTAATTATATTCCTTAAAATGTAGGTACTATATTCACACGGTTCAACATTTAAAAGTATATTCCCATTGAAGACTGGACGAAGACCTAGACACCTCACAAAAGAGAATATCTTAATAGCAAACAGCAAATGAAGGAGTTGGAGTTCTTCAACACTGTTAGTTATTAGGGAACTGTAAGTTAAAACTGCAATGCGATCCCGCTATACAAATGCTAGCTAAAATTAAAAAGAACATACCAAGTGTGGGTGAAGATTTAGAGCACTCATATCCTGCTAGTGGGAGTGTCAGTGGTACAACCAATTTTGAAACTGTAGAGCAGTTTCTATTAAAATTGCAGCTACGCAGATTCTGTGACTCAGCGGTTCCTCTTCTAGTTACGTGGACATGCACATGCAAAAGCTAGAGTGTTCATGGCAGCGCTGTCTATAATAGCTCAAACTGGAAATTATCTAAATACCCATGAACAGTCGAATGGGTAAATAAATTGTGTCATATTTATGCAATGGAACACCAATCACAATGAGATTGAACAATGTACAACAAATTAGTCACACAAATATAATGTTGGATGAAAAAAACCAGAAATGAATATATATGTATTGTATGGATTCATTTCTGTTAAGTACAAAGATAAAACTAATCTATGCTTTTTGAAAAAGAGGATACTGATTACTACTACTAGTCTTGTAGGGAGAAGGGTAGTGACTAGAAGGGGCATGATGAGGCATCTGGGGTGATGGTAGTGTTCTGTTTTTTGATCTAGGACCTAGACTCTAGGTGCCAGTTACGTGGGTGTCTTCACTTTATGAACATTCTTTGGGGTTACACTTAACATGCACTTTTTTGTATATTATCCTTCAACAAAAAGTTAATAGGTTTAAACATAAAATAACTTTATATGTGGATGTATATATGTCTCTCACTTTATGTAATTAGTTTCACACTATGTTCACCTTGCTTGTTTTTTACTTAATAATCTCTCTTGGATATCTTTCCATGCAATTACATAAGAAGTTTCCTAATCCTTTCTTTCTAATGGCTAATGCCTATACCATAATGTATCCCCCACTGGTGGGTACTTAGATTGTTGCCACATATTTGCTATTACAAATAATGCTGCAATAAATAATCTTCACAGATATTATTTATACATGTACAGCTATATCTACATATATAATTCCTAGAAGGTGAATTGTTGGACCAAAGAGTTATGCCCATTTGTAATTTTGGTTTCTGTTGAATTTCTCTTCACTGAGGTGGTACCAAGTTTTTTTTTTTTCTTGCAAACAATGAGTGCTATTCTTCCACACAGTTGCTTTCATTTTCTTTTGAGATAGATGCTACTGTGTTGGCCTGCTGATTGCTGGAGTTCAGTGCTTAATCTTAAATGCTAAGATTCTTTTTCTTGCAAAATTTATAAATATTTGGATTCAATTTATTTGTCATGATCACACATCGTTAGCTTTCATGATAGTGTTCACTATTATGCAATTTCAAAATGTATTCTTAGTCATATATATTGTTTAATTAATTTCCATAATTGGCTAAAGACAGAAAACTTAAAGAATACTGATGCTGAATCATATCAACCAAATGAAAAAAAAATTATGCAAACTAGGTGAGAAGACAAGTATCACATCTGTATGTTGAATTCATCTGTTCAAAATTCTGTAAAATTACATTAAGGATTGTTTTTCCATTAACTGAGAATTGAGGTTGTTTATACTGCAAGTTCTATTTTAGGAAATAGCCGTTTGAAATCTCTAATATCTCTTTAATTAGAAAAAAGATGGAAAATTAAAAAGTAAACCACCTAAATTTAAGAATTTCAAACATCTCATATTCTGAATTTTTTCAGTCTGAAAGCACCTAGTAAGATTTGATAACACAAGGGCTGGGGAAGTCTCTGTAATTACGTAACAGTGAACAGTTTGTATGGGAAACTAACATTTAGGGCACATTTAGTATCTCTTACCCCCCAAAAATCTCAAAAAATACCTGATAAACCCTGTAATGACATGGAGTCTGTAATTATGAAAAGTCAGGGAAATAGACATTTTTGCAGTTAATGAACATAATGTTTCTCATTTAGCGTTCTAATGATCAATCAATTCAACATGTCATTTTAAAATTGTTGACAAATGATGCTTTTTCTGGTAATTAAGCTATATTAAAATTTTCACCTCAATTGGAAGAAAACAAACATTTCTCATCTTAGATTTATTAATAAAGAATATTAAAGTCAACCTGTTAATATAGTATTGATAATAGCAGTTTCCTCAAACGTTTTTCAATCTAAAGTTGCATCTTTATTATTTAGCATTCAGAGAAAAGTGAAATTATTTTTAGAAATTCCTAAAAAGTTAAGCTATATATCTTTCTGTGAAAGTGCGGAAAACGTAAAAAAAAAAAAAAAAAAAAAAAAAGGTTGAAGAACTAGTACAATCTCCCATCTAAAGAACACCTCCCAGAGATGCCCAGCTTCTTTTGAGCATTTCCTGGCGGTAGGGAACAAACTACATTTTGAACAAGATGTTTCCATTAGTTAGAAGTTTCTATTATTAAAATTCTCTAACACTGAGTTTTACAAAATTGTGGTCTTCGTATTAGCTGCTTATGCTGTCTTGAAAAAGCCCAATTCTTCTACCTAGACAATTGAGCTTTGTCATTCATTCAACAAACACAAAGGGGATACCACTTTAAAAAAATTTTGTTGTTTGTTTTAATTTTTGAGAAAGAGAACAGAGTGTGAGGGACACAGAGCGAGGGAGACTCAGAATCCAAAGCAGGCTCCAGGCTCCGACCTGTCAGCACAGAGACTGATGCAGGCTCCTACTTGTGAACCATGAGACCATGACCTGGGCTGAAGTCGGTAGCCTAACTGAGCCACCCAGGCGCCCCAGGGGATACCACTCTTTAAGGTGATATGAGGGATTTATAAAATGAATACATGGAAATCAGTTATGTCATCTTTAGTTTTGGGCATCTGAATGTATCTCATTTACTTTAGTTTGGTTTTGAGACTGATGGTGATTTTCCTAAGAATCTACTTCACTTCCATCACCATCCTCTGAAATCCAAATAGGTTAGAAAATTCCATATGAAGTTTGATAGGTGAGAGGCACATGTGGCTATGCGTGTCTCTGATCTGAATCTATTATATAATGAATGGCAATATTTATTTTTTTAAAAACAGTCTTATTAAACTATTAATTTAGGTTGGACCTGTGGTCCACTAAAACTGGAAGTTTTTGTTTGTTAACTTGTTTCTTTGCTTGCTTTTAATATAAACTGCCTGTAGGTCACGTTTTCTCTCCTGCATTTGTCCAATTGATTCTTTTAGAGAGTTAAGGGTTGAATTGTGTTCCCCCAGAAGATGTTGAAGTCTTAACCCCCAGTATCTGTGAATGTAACCATATTCGGAAACAGCATCTTTGCAGCTGATCAAGTTAAGATGAGGTCATTAGGATGGGCTCTAATCCAATATGACCCCTGATAAAAAGGGGAAATTTTGACATAGACAGGCATATATAAAGTGAAAATATTGTGAAGATACATAGAGAAAGCTATCTATAAGCCAAGGAACACCAAAAGCTCCCAGAGACTAGGAGACAGTCATGGAACAAATTCTTTCTCATAGTCCTCAGAAGGAACCAACTCTGTTAATATATTGACTTCTAGTCTCCAGAATTGTGAGACCATACATTTTTGTGGTTTGGTCCCCCAAGTTTATGGTTCTTTGTTATGGCAGCCACAGGAAACTAATATACTCAGGTACAATTTTTAAAAACTTTATTTGGGATGATAATAATAGATCCATAGGGAATTGCAAGCATAGTACAGAGAGGTCCCAGTATCCCCCAATGGTTACATCTTACATAATTACAATATAATATCAAAACCAGCAATTTAGCATTCATGCAATGTGTGCATGTTATTCTATGTCATTTTTTCGCATGCATGGATTCCTGTGCCACCACTGCAGTCAAAATGCAGAACTATTCCATTACCACAAAGATCTCCCTCCCCTCTTCCTTACCCGCTTCCATCCTTTAAAGCCTGGAAACCACTAATCTTCTCTCCATATCTATAATTTTGTCACTTCACAAATGTTATGTTATTGATATATATGTGATATTTTGAGACTGACTTTATTCACTCAGCATAATGCCCTTGAGATCCATCCAAGTTTTTCTTGTATCAGTAGTTATTTTTTTATTGCTGAACAGTATTCCATGGTACAGTATGTACACCAAAGTTCTTTAACCATTCACCTACTGAAGGACATTTTCATTGTTTCCAGGTTTTAGCTATTACAAATAAAGCATCTATGAATAATTACATACTGGCTCTTATGTGGACATAGATTTTTATTCCTCAGTTTTTTTTTTTTAAAGAAACTGCCACACTACTTTTCAAGTGACTATGCCACTTAACATTCACACCAGCAGTATAGGAGAGACTCCATTTTGCTGCATCCTTACCAGCATTTCATATTTTCTCTGTTTCTTTTATTTTAGCTGACTAATAAGTACACAGTAATATCTCATTTGTATCATATTGTTTTGTTATATCTTTGTAGGTCCACCCTTCTACCCTTACATGATTCTCTTAAATGTGTACT